CCGTTTAAAATTTACATTTGGTTTTATTAACTTTGACGTTGTACTGATATAGTCGTTCCAAGACCGCTAAGCCATTTTTGTGGCATTCTAACAACGATGACCCGTAAATTAAAATGTCATCTAGATAACACTTGACTTGTGGTATACCCGCCAGGATCATTTCCATACATGATTGAAAGATACCCGGTGCTGAGCTCACCCCATACGTAAGACGGTTGTATCGAAATAGACCCATGTGTGTGTTAATGGTAAACAGTTCACGTGTATCATTGCCAATTTGTAGTTGGTGATATGCACCTTGCAAATCTATTACGCTAAAAAATTTGCTCCCCCCCAGACAAGCAAAAATATCCTCCGGCAACGGTAACACACAGTGGTCTCTATCGATTACCCTGTTCAAGGTCTTCTTAAAATCTACACATATTCGAATGTCCGAATTATTTTTCTTAGGTACCACCACAATGGGACTAGCCCACCTACTATGCGCGACTTTTGTTAGGATTCCCGATTGAACCATCCTTGTTACTTCTTCTTCTACTCTTGACTTTACCGCATATGGCATGCTGTATGCTCTATGGAATATGGGTTTGGCATTGTCTTTAAGTTTAATTTCAGCTTTGAAATGTTGAATTACCGAATTAGGTTCCTCGTCGAAAATCCGCTGAAATTTACTTTTGATTTCACCTAACAACCCTTTGACAATGTCTGACTCCTGTGTGCCTATACTGCTCAATTTACACTGTTCGACGCTCATTTTAGTGTCCACGACCTGTTTCCAATGTGGATTAAGAATATTCAGCCAATTCCTACCTAGTAGTGGTGTAAATCTAGACTTACTATCTAATATCACTAACGGTAAAGCAAATACTTTCTTTTGATACCTTACAGAAACAGATATTTGACCGACAATATTGACTTGTTCGCCTGTGACTACTCGCAATTGAAATGTAACCGGTTCTACGCGTATTTTCGGATACCATTTCTTATAATCATTTATGTGAATGACTGACTTACATGCGCCCGAATCGACTTCCATTATAATGACTTTGTTCTCCACTGGCAATTGAATACGTAAACTTTCATTACCTTTGCAACGCCATAACGTGTTTAGGAAATACATCTCCCCCGATTCCCTCAACCAACCTAACTCTGACGGGTTATTTACGTCTGTATCTGGCTCCTCTTGACTAGCCTCTTCCGCTGCTACTTCGTTAATTTTATTCTTGCATAACGCTGATTTTGCTGTATGTCCCTTCTGGTTGCATGAGAAACATTTCCAGTTGATGGCCGGGCACTTATTGTTATCCCAGTGAACTCTGAAGCATCTTCCGCATTTTGTCTTGCCTGTGCTGCTTGAAGGATGATCCGCTCTGCTGGCTTGTCCGGGCTGACTGGATGTGGCTCTATTTTGCGATGATGACTGGCCGGCCTTCTTGCTTCTGCTGTACTTTGAGACGCTTACTTTATTGACAGACGTAGCATCGGTGCCCATGACTTTAATTTGACCCTCTGCCATCTCCATACTTGTAGCAATTTGAAACGCTCGTTCATAGGTCAGATTATCTTCTGTTAGCAGTTTCCGTTGAATATTTTCTGAACGGATACCACATACTAGTTTGTCGCGTAAGGCCTCGTTCAAGAATGTACCAAAGGCACAATGTTTAGCCAAGTTCTTGAGTCGAGCTACATATGACTTGATGTCCTCATTAGATTCTTGCGCTGCCGAGTAAAACTTATACCGTTCAGCTATCACTAACCTTCTAGGGCTGTAGTGATTTTCCAACTCCGTGCGAAGGCGTTCAAATGCCAATGTACTCGGTAAGGTAGGCGCTAACAAATCTTTAAGCACTCCGTATGCTTCACCACCTATTAAGGTTAGTAATAGGGATACTTTTTTGTCGGCTACCACCTCATTACAAGCAAATAACATCTCGATACGTTCCATATATGACGTAATATCCGTCTCTCTTGGATTGAAAGCTTCGATGGATCCAATGAGCGCCATGACGAGAACAATACTTATCCAGTATTTTTCCAAGCGTAGGCTCGAAGACTCGTCGCCAATGTTGTGTTCCTCACTTTGTGAGTTACAGGTAACTCCCAGGCAGTAAGGGAATATCCGTATTTGGTGTACACTGGTATTATCAAATCGTACAGTTCTTTATTCAGACGTCGGATTCTCTTATACAGATGCTTAGGATATATAATCTATATAGATAGGTGTATCACGCAGCAGCGCCTTCTGGCGCAAGCGCACTAGCACTTATGCTAAGATCTTATTCGCATGGCTACATAACAGTTTCATGCACTCTGTAATGCATCAGAGTTTCTGTTTCTAACCTTGATGATCTCTCTGATAAAACAAATATTTAAAGCCCGCTACAGACGGTGCTATTTTTCCTGCTGGAGTGTTTGCAATCTAATAAATTAACATCGTTGCACCACTCAGCACTCAGGATTCCTAGTAATTTAGTAAATCGCGAGCAATCCAGTAGGAAAAATAGCGTCGTCTGCAGCGGGCTTAATAAAAAAATTTAATGAACAATGATAGTGTTAATAATCAAAATGAAATAAGTGAAAGGATTTCACCAGTATGATAAATACAAGTGTCATTAATTATTAAATTACTAACATGTTAAAAATATATTGATACATATGTAATATTGAAATTAGTAGTAAAAATTAAACAAAATATACATATATTGCATTAATATAATTAATACAGCCGTAAAATAATAAATTGTTTATAACAACCACAATTGTTTATAACCCAACATGATATAATATCACGA